GCGGGCTCCCGGGCCGTCTCTCTCGCTCCGGCAGCCGCGGACGCTCGTCGGGTTATCCTCGTTGCCCTCGCGAGCGCGGAGGCAGGCGCCACGAATTCACTTCTCGCAACTTCGGCTCCGCTCGGTCAGTTCCGACTGCCAGCCAGAAGAATTCGTTAGTATTCGCCGCGCTGCCTTGCCGGCAAGTTCTGTTCGAAGCAAGGTGATTCGAAGACCGCCAGACGAGCGTTTTCCGAACGCGATGTTCGTCTGAAAGATTACTCGCGTAGAGAAAGTCGTGGTGGTGATCGGAAGGGAGAAGGGTGGAAGCTTGGAGGACCATCGATGAGATTTCCAAGGGAGAACGGTCCTGAGACTTTATCGGCGTACACGGAGGAACGTTGCGAAGCGCATTGGCTAGGTGGACCGTTTCGAATCGCTTGGAATCCGCGCGAATTCGCGCGCCCGAACCGCGAGCCGCCACTAGTTCAAGATTCCCTCGTCGCAGTGGGCCAAGTTCTCTATCAAAACATGGCCACGTGACCGACGGCGCGACTTGTAAACAGTGAGTTTGACCACGTGGTCTCCCCCCCTCTCGCCTGCGTCCGTCTCTGTCGATGTCGTTCGCGTGCTCCGTTTCCCTCTCGCTCGCGCGCAACACGCAGAACAACGTACATCGTATTCCCGGTCGTTCCGTTGCCAGTTGCGGGAGAGTTCGATTCGAGTGATCCGCGATACTCCGCTTTTCCTCGTGATCATCCCACGTCTCGATTTATCGCGAGTGTGGTCACGCAACCGTATGCACTGCGAGCCCGGCTGGCGAAACAAGAAAAAAACGGAGTGGCGGTAGCGAAAGAGTGACCCCGGTTCTGGTTTCAACTCGTTAATACCCGACCAGTGTTGTTAACCCGTCGGTAGTGACAGTGTTGGCCATACCGTGACCGCTCCGCAAGTTCTATCGACTAGTCTAGTCGACGGTTCGCCATCCGCGATATCTGCCGGACCGTTCGGTGCCCGCGGCCAAAGTGGAGTACACGGACGAAACGAACAGGATGGACCCGGTGTCGGTCTCGGCGTCGGGGTCGAAGACCGGGTTGCAACCACAGCAGGGGGTACCATACGACCTTGAGACCGGGTTCGAGCCACAGTCCCGTGCTCGATCGCACACGTGGCCTCTGCCCAGACCCGAGGAATACATCGAGGGCAACGTGGTACCCAGTGTGCAGGCCAAAGAGGGCGTCGAAGGTGTCGAAAGTGGCACGCCGTCGCAGCATCGCTCTCTCGGACAAGGTACCGGACTGCTTCCGGTCAAGAAAAATTCGTCCAGACGTAACGCGTGGGGTAATCATAGTTACGCAGATCTCATCACTCAGGCCATCACTAGCGCTCCGGAGGAACGATTAACGCTCTCACAGATCTATGAATGGATGATGCAGAACATCCCCTATTTCAGGGAGAAAGGGGAGAGCAACAGCAGCGCTGGATGGAAGGTAAGTTATTTTACCTCCAACACTAATTACCTGCAATTCTGCATAATTCTGATGCGTGATTTCGAACTAGGTCCTTTCAAATATCTTTCAAAGATTTTCTGTAGGTAAATGTACTTATGGTATATACCTGCCCCAGAAACATACTTATCCCAGATATAAGTATTACTTAGAAAACCTCGAGCGAAAACAAAAATGGAATACAGGATTTTCTTCTGTTCTAAGATTTTTTACGAGCTTTGTTCAATTTACTGTAGCTTTTATATGGAGGTTTGACAATAACTAACCCTTCCTATAACAAAACTAACAGACAAAGGATAAAACAAAGAATCAAACAAAGGATAAAATTGCAACACAAAATACTTCATTTTTGCAAAATTGTATCGAATATTAAACACAGGGGTGAATATTGTACTCAGTAATAATCAGAGGGGTAGATTTGCTCTTCAAGGGGTAAATTGGTCCCGGGGGGGTTAAAGTAGTGTATACGGCCCTGAGCTGCATATTAATGTCCGTACTCTACATCTTAATTTAACATCTGAGTATCGTTATTAGTACATGTACATTTTACATGTACATAGAGTAGATCTTTGAACCGACTGTTTCTGTAAATCGACTGGCGTGAAGAAATGTAAAATTATAATGGAATCGTTGATCAACGTAATGTTCGTGGAATGTTCCGTCTGGCTATGTTATCGCATTTTGTCATTAGCCGTTCTTTAATGCTCCAAAATTGATGCACGTGACAAAGAGGGCGTCCTGCCGCGTCACGTGACACCATTTTGCTATCTATCATGGTACAACGATCTTCATACGTTTGTTAGTTGGAATATCGAATTGCCTATCAAGTCTACGAGGTTTTCGTGATTGCAATCGGAACATCGTGCTTGTTTTATTATCTCGGCTTTTTACTTCGCGCTTTGTCGAAACGTGTAATGTTTCTGAAGATTTAGGGACTGCTCGTGAATTATGGTGTACTTCGGATTTAGTTTATATTCAGAGATTCGAGAAAATCAGGTAATTATTTTAACTTTGATTATTTTGTTAGGAAAACAGAAATTAAAAAGAAGTTTAGAAAATGTCAGTCAAATTGTATTAATAATAATTTTTTGTTGGTTCAACAATGTGATTACGTTTCATTATTATGAATCTGTTATTTAATGTACAAATTTGTTATTACAAAATTTATTATATTAAAAAAATAAATAGCCTTGCGATTACTATTAATATTAATGCGGTTAAATTTCACTATCGCCATCATCAATACAAATGTCTTTTTTATTCCTAAGAAAGTTCTCTCATTTTCTCTTATTTTCGAAGAGAAAGTTCAATTTTTATAGATATGTATAAATTGCACTATAACGAAATATAAAATAAATGCAATTATTTGTTATTCGTCTTCAAATATTCCACCATTCAGTAATACTAAATTATGAGAGAAATTAAACATTCAAGATTTAAGTATGACAAGAGTGAAGCACTTTGGCGCGAAAATTTGAATAACTTCAAAAGTGAGGTTATATCCCGTCATATGTCACATCGTCTCCGATACATCATCCAAATAACGTGTTTAATAAAAATTAATATATGATGATTGAAATTGATAAACGAAGAAATAAATTTAAAAATAATAATATTGTACATATTTCGATTTAAGTGGAACAAATTTACGCACGAATTTATGAACTCTTTCTAGAACGTATGAATAAAACAAGGGATATTAGCACATTTCTGTATAAATTCACTATTCAAATACCCCAAACGAATAATTATTAACAATTGAAATTTTATTTAGAAATTACTTGCATCATCTTTGTTAAAATACAGATAAATAATATAGTTCAAACTTATAATGACAGTGCTGCAAACATAAATAAATAATTTTGTTTAAAATAAAATGTGTCTAAACGTGTAACGAACGATGACGCTGCAGAATGAACATAGGGACTTTTATCGAGGTTAAAAAGTGACCGGACGATGCATAGATATATTTTTGTCTATTTCTCGTCATCGTCGAAACGTTGACCGTGAACGATCGAGAGAGAGAGAAAAGAGAGAGAAAGAGAGAGGAAGAAAGAGAAAGGCGCCAGCGAGGCGTGTTTCAGATTTTTCGGCGTTGAACAGAGGATATTCGCAACGCGTAAAAAAGTGGCGATAGACCGATAAAACAGGTTCTCTCGCTCGTTAAAGTTTCAATCATCTGATTTTCATACGTTCCTTTTCTTCACGTTTAACCTTTCCACGGATTTAGTTTCGGGTAGGAAAACGCGGCCTTCGGGAATTCCAATTTCACGCGGTGCGCCGGTCGCTGACTTTCTCGGGTTTTGAAATTCGCGCTCGAATTCAGCGGGAATAATGAATATAAAAATCGAGATCTCGACGGACTCGTTTCGCCTGCCTGGCATGGTCTGATTTCTACGATTGATTCAATGCTCTCGCACCATTTTTATATCGAGCAGTTTTTACAGTTGGGTTATATGTTAGGTTATGTGATGCGCAGAAGCGAACTGCGCAACTTCTTCTTGTTTCATGTATATCACAATTATATTAAAACGTATTCCAAAATTCACAAGTCTATAAATGTATTTTATCAAAGTTTTATTAGAAACAATTAATAACTGTACAAACTTTTCAACTACATTTATAAAATGTACCATTCAATGATGTCAATTTTGCAGATGAATCTTCAAGTTAGAAAATGAAATTAAAAATGAATCTTCAAAAGTGATCTCAAAGAATGAATCTTCAAGGTAAAATACTTCTGATACCTTAAAAGATGAATCTTCAAATTAATGTACATAGATGGTACTCAAATATCACTTGTATTTGTATGTTGAGTCACAGAGCCCCAAAAGCAGGTAATTATCACACTCATTCAGTTAAAATGTATCCATATTGATTTCTCTTGTAAATTGAACTTAAAAATTGATTCTAAAAAAATGACTCTTCAAATTAAAATACTGATGGTGCTCAAATATCACATGCATCTATATGTTGAGTTACAGAGCCCCAAAAGCAGGTAATTATCGCACTCACCCAGTTAAAATGTATCCACATTAATTTCTCCTCTAAACTGAATCTGAAAATTAATTCTAAACATATTACTCTTCAAATTAAAATACCAATAGAGCTCAAATATCACTTGTACTTATATGTTGAGTCACAGAGCCCCAGAAGCAGGTAATTATCGCACTCATCCAGTTAAAATACTTTCATATTGATTTCTCCTCTAAATTGAACCTAAAAATTGATTCTAAACATATTACTCTTCAAATTAAAATACCAATAGTGCTCAAACATCACACGTGCCTACTCGTTGAGTCACAGAGTCCCAAAAGCAGGTAATTATTGCACTCACCCAATTAAAATACTTTCATATTGCTTTCTCCTCTAAATTGAACCTAAAAATTGATTCTAAACATATTACTCTTCAAATTAAAATACCAATAGTGCTCAAATATCACTTGTACTTATATGTTGAGTCACAGAGCCCCAAAAGCAGGTAATTATCGCACTCACCCAGTTAAAATACTTGCATATTGATTTCTCCTCTAAATTGAATCTAAAAATTGCTTCTAAACATATTACTCTTCAAATTAAAATACCAATAGTGCTCAAACATCACACGTGCCTACTCGTTGAGTCACAGAGCCCCAAAAGCGGGTAATTATCGCGCCCACCCAGTCAAAATACCTCCATATCGATTTCTCTTCTAAATCAAATCCAATACACGAACATTTACAGAGAGTATCGATGAAAAAAATGTTAAAGATTCCAATGAAATGGAGAATTTTCTCCGTAAAGTCCGTAGGATCGTTGTTGGTGAAGCGGTGTTTATCAGGACGCGTTTCCCTCGATTTCAGTGCGGCTCGCAAAAGTGGTCCGCTTTGAGGGAAAAGTAGCAGCACGGGAAAAGTTAACTTCGCTAACAGTTAAACTGTGTAAATCGATAGCGTGCTTTTTTTAAATTCCGATTAACGGAGATGATACACTCTCGCGTTAGAAATCGGTAGTAACGTCCACTGCGTCGGGAAATAACGCGACCGCCATCTTTTTTTGGGATGGCGAAATCTCTAATGGCGTCTCGATCACTCTTTTCCTCGACTTCCTTGAAAATTCGTAAATATGCATCGAATGCTAGTCGAGATCATTAAAATCAATGAGATGCATTTCATTTTGCATAATTATCAATAACGAAGCTGTTTATTCCTTGAAATATGCGTCAAAGCAGCAAATACATAACAAACGGCAGTGTTTGTTTTCATTTCAATCTGCGCTTAGATTTATATGTTTTCTTTATTTACATTTTTTAATTGACTCATTTGTAAATTTCCGGGAATGGGTAGATAAATAGGTGGATTGGCAAGTTTTAACTAGAAATTATTTCCTAGATTCTCTGTTTGGGGACGTAAGTAATTTATGGATGTAGGGGTATCGGGAGATGGAGATTTAGGGTTATAGGGATGGGATGTAGGAATTTAGGACTCGTAGGGTTATCGGGAGATAGAGAGTTGGGGTTTTGGGGATATTGGAACATAGGAATTTGGGTATAGGGTTGTGGGAAGATAGAGAGTTGGGGTTTTAGGGATATTGGGATTTAGAAATTTGGGTATAGGGTTATCGGGAAATAAAGAGTTGGGGTTATAGGGATATTGGAATTTAGAAATTTGGATATAGGGTTATCGGGAGATGGAGAGTTGGGGTTCTAGGGATATTGGAATTTAGAAATTTGGGTATAAGGTTATCGGGAGATAGAGAATTGGGGTTATAGGGATATTGGGATTTAGAAATTTGGGTATAGGGTTATCGGGAAATAGAGAGTTGGGGTTTTAGGGATATTGGGATTTAGAAATTTGGGTATAGGGTTATCGGGAAATAGGGAGTTGGGGTTCTAGGGATATTGGGATGTAGAAATTTGGATATAGGGTTATGGGAAGATAGAGAGTTGGGGTTCTAGGGATATTGGGATTCAGAAATTTGGATATAGAGTTATCGGGAAATAG